CACTCAATTATGTTTACCCAAAGGGAGATTCAGGACTAGCCTATTTCACCAGACCCTCTTTTATCAAAGGCAGCTTTTTCAGGAGAGATCTACTATCACTTCATTCACCTCCTCTGTAAAATGACCTTGACCCAAAGAAGTATTCATTATCCTCACCAAAGGAATTCTACATTTCTCCAGGCAAGATTCAACCAGCCAGGAAAGCAAAAGATCAAGTTTACAAGTGGCCATCAAAACCCCAATGACCTCTCCACATCAGGCAGGGAGAACAATCTGAAATGGGCCAAGCAACACTGACAATTGAGTGCTTCCAACAACCTCTGTAGCACAGGATTTTTTTTCAAAAAAAGTGGTATTCAAGCCATATCAGATGAGAAATTTTATCAGCAAAGAATCTTGCAAAAGTGTTACGAGAAACTGAAATATCCTCATCCATACGGTCAGATGGGCATGTTAACTAACCATAAACAAGTATGAAAAGTTCTACTGAGATTCGGTTTATGCAGTAAAAATGGGGAAGCAATGTTTTTGCTGCCTAGAAATGGGCTCTTTGGTGTCTGCTGTCTCACTCAGCTTGAGTTTTCCAGCAACGATGCTCCTGATGTTTGTCAACCTGTTTCAAATCAGAAGGGATCCTTAGTGTATTCTTGAAGCAAAAGCATTTCAAGGCAGGGAAGAGGGCACTGGGGAATGTTCTTGTCCATTTCCACTATCAGTTGCATATTCCAGAAAATACCAGGAAGTCTACAGAGTCACCATTTATAGTCTACATATTTTCCAGAGCATTCTGGAAAGTAACTGGGATCCATAAAACACTTACAATGAATTATCTTAATTGTTTTCCACTTCTGCAAAGAAGGAGGGGGCTACACCAATAACCCTTTGAGAGGACAGTGATTTGAGCACGTGATGGATCTCAGTTCTAGCCTCCTAACCAGATCATTAGCAATCCAGTGCAGAGAAGTCTAATGTAGGCAATTTTTCAACCTGAGACAACTCCATAGTCACTGTGAAGTCCTACAAGGTGTCCTCAGTATGAATATTGAAATCCTCTCGAAGTATTACTCTAGTGGACTTTGGTACCAGGCTGGAAACATTATCTACCAGCCAAGGCACTCACTGGTGATCTAGGAGGGTGGTACACCAGCAAGATCCCTAACCTATTTTAAGACAATTAAGCTGTTTCTCCTTTGTGCATGTCTCTACAAATTCACAAAATATCAGAATTCAACAGTTAAGACAGAAGCTTTGATTCTAATTTATTCTAAAGGTTTCAAACTTCCCTGTTAACATTTTTAGAAAAAGATTACTTTCTGTGTCATACCATGCTCTTGAACGCCTGCAACAGCAGGAAAAAAATGTAAAACTTTCTCTAGCTGAAACACACATAAATTATATTACCACATGACTATTTTTTCAAAGAACTCTCACAACAACATAGAACGTCTGGTACAAATAAGTAGCTTTGAAGGATTTAATGTTTTAAACCAAGTTCAAAAAATTCTAGCTTCTCATTCACTGGTCCCAGCTAGACCTCTAGGATGGCAAACATTTTTTATTACCCGTAGCCTCACTTCTCTGCCAGCCAGTCATTAGAAGTACATATACATATGCACGGTCAGTAACACAATCCAAGTAAACATTCAGATGATAAAAGACCCTTTCATGTTTCATAAATGTTTACTGAAAGTCGGAAGATGAAAGCTTTTCCATTGTTCTTCTGCATATGATGATAACTTTCATAACTTTATTCACACCCACGTAAACTGAAAAACTACAGATCTGTTTTCACCACAACACAGAAAACGTGGAAAATTTGTTAAGATAGTTTCAAGTAACAATGTTCCTCTGGTTTTTAACATGATCATATGAGTCAATTCAAAAATAAAAAGGTATCGTGTTTAATAAGGAACAGTTTTAGAAACAGCTTCCCAGAAATGTATACTTTATGCAGATCAGACTGTTTAATCCAATCCTATTTGCCCTGTGATATGAATGAAAACTAAAGGGTTCTGAAGTTTCAGTATATCAGTTTACACAGAAGTGTGGATTGGCAGAAAATTTTAAAATCACCTTTAGGGAAATGAGTGTTTCCAGCTATTTTGTTCTTATGCCACATTCTCCACCCATCAGCATCACCCCTTCCTATTTAAAACCACTGCTTTGGGCATTGTTCATTTTCTGCAGTGTAGGGTAGAAATGTTAAACAAAGGCAGCAGAGCAACTGAGACATTCATGGCAAAGAATAAACTGGGTCACTTCTGGCATTAGAAATGCACACAATATTCAAAAATGAAGAGAGGAATACATATCTATATAGGAATAGTAATTAGCAAGAAATTGGTAAAGACTTACTTATTCCAGGCTTGCCTGAGGTTTTTAGCACTGTACTGCGTAAAGCGCTCTGTAACAACAGGGAAAGAAATTGAAAGATATTCAGTTTTTGTATAAAACTATATGGAAAAATTTTAACGAGTATTCTGCTTATCACCTGCCTCAGCCATTCATTGATTTAATATGGGAAAACCTCAAAGAGAAGTGCTCAAGGAACACTAATCAATCAGAGAACTTCAAAAAGGCAGATTATGTTTCTCCAACACAAACACGTTCACTTTGACATTTTGTTCTGTGGTTCCAAATCCTTAATGAACTAATTTATAACAACAACAGGAAGAAAGATTAACTGAAACCCAGGCTCATGCGGCACATTTGGAGACAAGTTGGAAGGTATGCTGCTCACGTAAACCTCTACTTGGATAAGACTAACCACAGTTCCATAATTACAGTAATTACTTTGTTTCCTTGCCCATAATAATAGCCCAGGAAACAAAAGTTCTTTCTCTTACATGCTTCCTCAGCCACCAGCACAAGGAAGAAGAACAGTGATTTTGCCCTGGTCTTCCACTGCAGCAGGAAGGGCTAGGATTGTACGATGATTACTAGGGAAGAGATACAGTGCTCATTCTCTGAATGAAAGCTAAGCTTGCTTGATGGCGGTCACCCACTGTACGGCAACGGAAGCACAACACAAAGACTAAGATCTTAAAGCTGGCTCCCTTTCCTGCTACCCTAGCATTCTTTAGATTTCCATGGAGGTCTTCAAGAAAAACATTTGAATGATATTTCACCAGCATTACAACTGTACAGGCGTTACATAAATCCAAGCAAGTCACAAAACTGATAAAAGATCAATTCTGTTTACCAGCCAATCACAAACCACAGTTTGCTAATTTAGGTGACATAGAAATCCATAGATTCAGGTCAGCAGCCGTGTTGGACAGAAGCAGCAGAACAAAAATTGAGTCGTGGCACCTTTGAGACCAACAAAGTTTTATTCAAACTATGGCAAGCCGTAGCTAAGCTTCCTTAGCAATAGTTGTGCATGATATCAGAAATTACATATAGACTCAATTCTGATATCATGCAAAAACTCACTATAATTTCACAAAGTAGCAATTATATCCATCTTAAACAAAATCTTGGAGAGGCAGATAAAAATATTCTATATAAATAAGAAAAAGGTTGACAAGTTTACATTCAAGCAATCTATATTTATAATCAATCATGGGTTCATAAAACGGTATTCTAAAATATAGTACAAGAGACGAATAAAGTATACCAGTCTATTTACTGAAATAAGCCACTGAAAATCATCCTGTAAAGGAAGGTTGTAAATGCTTTCAAAAGACTGCAAACTTTGCTGTATACTAGAGACCTGGTTTAGATTAAATCCCATGTGGTTAGAGGCCACACACATCATGGAGAAGTAGAATCATCTACCCAGCTCTGCTACAAGATGTGCTGAGCATCCACATGTCAATGTAATATTTGCACATGGCCTACATGCAAGCTGCACCAGGTCCACATGTAACGGGGTTTTATATGAACAGATCCCATTTAAATGCTCATTTAATTTAATTCTATTTACTTGAGTTGCTTACATAGTTTTCCTTTCCTCCTTTATATTCTCACAGTAGGTTACGCTAAGAGTGTGTGAGTCACCCAGGATCACCAAGCATGCTGCCAACACAAATCCCCAGTGGGGATTTGAGAACCTGGGTCTCCCAGATCCTAGTCCGAGGCTCTAACCACTATAACACATTAGACCTCAAAAGCCATGTTTAGCTCTCACAGCCTCTAACACACAATAGCTGTACTAGCTGGAACAATGGAGCTCACGATGTGTATGCCTTATGTAACCTTGTTAGAGTACAGGAGTGGAATGAGAGCTTATAAATGTATACAAATCTTTCAGTTGTGCCCTGTTCTACTGAAGGGTGATTTGCATACAACAAAGAAGATTCCATACACAGAGTGCTTCCTCCACAGAAGCTACTGTGGAGGAGCATAATCATCTACATCTTACACTAAAGTAGACATGCCTAATCCAGAAATATATGGATTGTAGTGTGCCATTTCCATTTCTTGGAACCTACTGTAAACAAAAGATAGGCATAGTAAGGGGTTTGTACTAAGGACAACACCCACAATGACACTCTAGGCCAGAGGTGTCGAACTCATTTGTTACAAGAGCCTTGTCGGGCCGGGCCATGTGTGCTATAAAATGTAACACGAGATACTGGAGATATAAACTTTACAAAGTCAGGGCTTTTTTTCTGCTGGAATGCACCAGAACGGCGTTCCAGAACCTCTCCAACTCAGGTTCCCAGTTCCCCCCAGCTCAGAGTAGTGAACAAATGGCTGCCAGAGAAGCAAAGCAGGAAGAGAGCGGAGGTCCCAGAGCTACCCCTGCCTGTCTGCCCCATCACCATCGCAGTCTGTCTGCTGCCTTGCAAGAAACTGGCTCTATCCCCTCCCCCCTCCCCCCTTCTTTTTGGTGCTGATATCTGACAGGGTCAAATCACACAAGCTACCAGGCAGCAGCAGGGGAGGGGAGGGGAGGGGAGGCGGCAAAGGCAGCTCTGGTTCCTGGTTGCTCTCCCACTTACTCATTGCTGGGAAGTGGGGGAGGGCACATATCGTACTGGAGGAGGCAGCTGCTCACTTGCCAAGCACAAGTTAAAGAATAAAGAGAGAAGCCACGGAATGAGCACCCCTCTTCTTAAGTTACTTTCAGTGCTGAGAAAATTATCAATTCAACACACTGGACCCTATTTAAGAACAACTGTCCCTCCCCCCAATCTAACACTCCCTTACCAAGTTTCCTCCTTCCCCATCGGAATAGAAAATGAGGAATCTTTGACTATTGACAGGAGGAATTTCCAGGGGCCAAGATGAAAACTAAAAAAGGCAAGTAGGTTCTTGAGAGGCTTTTTCGGCGGCTGAACCTTTTCGGTGGAAGAAACTCTCTTGCTATGCCTCTGTCATCGGTGTTGCCAAACAATTGTTGGGAGGGAGGCAGAGAGAGTGGTAGTGTTGTGCCAGACATTCTGCACCCCCCACCCCCGGGGGTAGTTTCTGGAAGATATCACTCCCCATCTCCCTGCATCCTTTCTAAGTCCGATCCTATTCTTTTTTGTGTCCCAAAGGGCAGTTAAGGAGTTTCCCCACCCAGACAAAACATGAGAGCGGCTGCTGTTTGTGTGAAGGCTGTCACATCTCCATGCTGCTGGCACCCTGTCAAAAACCTGTTGAAACTGCCTGCTTTGTGTTCAGCCAAAGTTTTTTTCTCCTTGTCTCCCCCCACCCCAGGCCTTCTTTCTTTAAACCTGCTCATTTTCTTTCATTCTTTCCCTCTCTGCCATTGAAAACGACACTTGGTCTTTCAAGGAATCAAAAACTTTTCTCACAGTGCCCTGCTTTCCCTTTAAAACCCTGAGTACCATTCTTTGACCATGGTGGCAAAAGGACTTTGTTTATGATTTCTGGATGGGTGGTATGAAACAGAGGATGGAGCCATTAAAAATGCTGCTTGTGAAAACTCTTAAGTGTACTTTTTTATATTTTAGTCTTATAGACACACCTCTTTTTGACAAAGGAGAATAAAAGCAAATGTATATACTGTTTTTATACCCAGAATAAAAAAATTGTGGTGAAAAAGGTAAGTTTTATAAATCATTTCATTCCACTGTTTGACAGGAGGCTTCCCTCTCCCTCTATAACAAGAGGATTGCCATTGCTTGCGGTGGTGAACTTTAGTGTGGTTTGCCCAGCAGCCAGCTACAAAATTAAGATCTTGCTTCAGTCTTTTTCACATTGAAAGTTGCTATTTAAAACTTCATTTTTAAGACAGTTGACTGAATTTTACATTTGTTTTTTTAAAAAATAATTCAAATATCCCTTGTAGAGTTTACAAGGCAGTGTGCTCATCTGGTAACCACTGAGGAAGCCAGAGAATATGGTTTGCCAAAATATTTCACTTTCAAGAAAAATATCAGGGGGAAAATAAGATGTGCCAGCAGCTCAAGGCTGCTTTTATTCTGTAATGAAATTTGACTTGATTTTGTTTACAGAAAATCTGTAATTTAAGGGTGTCCCATTGCATAGAAAAAATAGAATTGATGACCCCCCCCCCGAATCGTCCCAGTTGCCTTCTATGATCAACTTAACATTTCTCTTCAAAAAAAGACTGCTTTCAAAAGAAGACACAGAACTGTCAAGGTGTGGAAGAGTTCTAGATTCTAAGAACTGGCCAGCAAACTCAAGGGACAACATTCTCTATGGGGAAGAAGAACTATGCACATCAGCTCAATGAAAGAGAAGCAATTTGAGCCTTCAGAGAACATCTAAAACTCAGAGAAATGCACAAGGAACTGTCATGGATTCAGTGCACTCTCAATACAATAGCTATTCCCTCCATTGAGTGTGAACGGGGATTTTCCCAGATGAACCTGATTGTCATTCTAGAAAGGTCCTCCTTGTCAGTCAAAACCATAACATCTTTATTCTTTATAAGAATTGTTGGACCTCCCTTAACAGTCTTTGATCCAATGAAGTATGTTAAAACATGGTTGCTTCAAGGTTATTGTTCAGCAATAGACACCAAAAGCAAGACCTGAAAAAGAACCAAGGAAGCTGGTGACATGTCTAAAGTTTGGAAACTGCTTTAAAGTTAAGGTAAGTCTGTAGCATGTGAAAATAATATTTTTTCAAAAAAATCCCTCAGTTCCTTCTTGAGAGTTCCAGCACCTCTTTTTCCAGAAAAAAAGCCCTGAAAAAGATAATTTCATATGCCAAATGGCAACAGCAGGCGTGATTGGATCATGTGTGATCAGGGGGTGTCGCCAGAAAATTCTGGGTGGTGGGGCATTGGGAAATCCTGTGGGGCACAGGAACTGGGGGGAAGAGAGCAAGAGCAGTGAGCTGCGAGCCCACCTGCAACAGAGGAAGAGGACTTGGAGGGTAGTAGGCATAGAGGTAACAGCATTGGTAATGAGACAGGAAACCTTGGTCTCAATTTGGTCCAGGAGGATTCAGTCTAGGAGAATGCAAAGAATAAATGGA